CTGTGCATTGCCAAGCTTGTTTCAAGTAGGTGCTTTAGACCACTGAGCCATCTCTCCAGCCCCAAATGGAATAAGGGTTTTATTTTTTTTTTCTTCCTCGAATGCCTTCAGGGCACTTTTGGCCAGCGGGAGAGTGGTGAGGTTCGAACTCCAGGAACCTGAGGCTGACAGCTTTGTGGAAGCAGCCACTTAAAGGACTGAGCTAGGGCCAGGCCCCTTGCATTGTTTTATTTGCCTCCTAATTTGAGGCTCCCTTTAGCTAGTTCTGCCATCTCTAAGAGCTTCCATATTAGATACAAAATAGAATCATTGCCTTTTTGCATCCATACTGAGGACTTTCAGCAACTCTGCTGCCCAGAATCAAACAGGTATCCTACCCTCCACCCGGACCTGCATGGAAACCGCCGATATGCCTCTTAGCGGACTCGGCCCCTCCCTGCTGGCTGAAACACCGTAGAAGGGGACTTGTAGCTAGGGTGAAGCTGCCTTGCACTGATCCTTCCAGGGGGTCCCTGGTCTGCAGGGGCTGTCCACACACGCACAACCCTTGGGTTCCGGGTTATTGCCGTGCTCCAGTGTATCGCTCTGCCACTTATCTACAGGTTTTTACCTTCTTAACTAGGGACGTTCCACGGAGAGCCAAGGGCTGCTGCGCAAAATACTAATGAATTAGTATTTTCCCTTTTTAGTGGCTGATGTGACAGCCTGGCTCACACGACTAAATTTATTGGCCTAGGAGCTTAACCTTTGCGTCAGGACTGTGCAAACACGGGTTGGGTGAGGCGGGTCGGATTAAAAACTGCGATCCACCATGCTCGAGAGATTCTGCATGCATAGGCTGTCCGCCCGCTCGCCGGGCCCGAACTACTTTGGACCTCGGCAGCCGCCGTCCACAGGGCCTGCAGGCCCGGCCGGGCGGGCGTGTGGCTGGGGTCGCCAGGTCGGGTAGGGCGAAGCCTTGTGGGCCGCGCCGCCGCCTCCCTTCGTGAGCGCCGGGTGGGGTCCCCAGCTGCAGCTCAGCGCCCCCGGTCTGCGCCCCGACTCAGCCGAGAGCAGAGACCTCCGAGCAGGAGCCGCGGCCCTTTCCTCCCGGACCGCCGGCCGAGGCCAGCGCGGCAGCGAAGCGTGCGGGTGGCCGAGCGGTGTGCAGCGCGCCTGGCCAGGCGTCCTCTCAGAAAAGCAGGGTGCAGTGGTACTCGTGGGGACAACTACTGAGACAAACGCGGAGCCCCAGGCGAGCGGTCAGCTCCGCCTGCAGCCGGTTTCCTTAAATCCGCCAAGAAGCGCAGGAGTGGCGGTGACCAGCAGGTGGCACCGGTGACCGCACGGCCGGCGTGCGGTGGCTTGGTCCGGGGAGGCGTCCGGCCTGGGCGGCCGTCGTGCCGAGACCGAGCGGGAGCGGTGCTGAGGCTTAGCGAGCGCTTATAGTGTAAGAGGCCAACAGTGCCGAGGTAAATAAATACACATGAATACATACAAAGGGCTTGCTAAACAGTGTAGGCTTTCTCAGTGGGCCTTCTGAAGAACCAGACTTGGATCCCAGAAAGAGCCCGTCGTAGAGTGAAAGAGGAGTACTGACAGTGTAGGGAATGTAAGTTTTTAAGGTTTTTATGTGTTGGCACATTTTAGATACACAGAGTGAGAACACTCCTCAGAGTGAGTTTGTACCTGTACCTGTACATCTTGCTTCTTTTATGCCCTTTTTGCTCTCCTCCCTTGGCCCCTCTTTCAAACTTTGTTTTCATTTCTTTTTCTACTCTTCCCTTATCCTTTCTCTCCCAATATAATTCGCAGAAGCTCTACTGTAGGAGAAAGTGAGTAAGAAGAAAAAGTAAGGGATGAAGTTGAAGTGGTAGGCTGAGTTTGAATTTTATTGTGAGTGTGATGAAATATTTTGTGCATGGAAGGCCACAATCTGTTACTTACTTTTTTTAAACTGAAATTTCTAGTGAAACATTTATTCCTATTTATATTCATGCTGATCTCTTATTTTCCATTTTATACTTTTTAAAATTTTATTTTCTGGGGCTGGAGAGATGGCTCAGTGGTCTAAAGCACCTACTTGAAACAAGCTTGGCAAAGCACAGGGA